CGCTAAATGACAAGCTCTTACTACCTTCCCAAGAGCTGGATAGCAAGGCATAACCTCTCTCCACCAGTGATCCAGTCAGGTGCTGTCATTTATCCCAGGTAGGGTTGGATCTGTCTGTATTCTTGAGACTTCTCTCAAATACTGATCCTTTGATTTGCCGTCTTGATCAGGCACGTCATTGAATGATAATTAAGAAATTATTAACGATTTTCTAAAACTCCAGTACAAGAAATGATTATAAACTTTAATAGATCTATAAAGTAAAATTTACTAACCACGTGCATACTGCATATCCTGGCCTGTCCACTTTCCTCACAAAGTCCGATAAAAAGTCACCATTTACATTCTTTTCCTCCAGCCACGACCATTTGAACTTGTTCTTTACCTTTCCTTCTATGCTACGGATATCCGCCGACCTATCTACTTGTTTGTACATTTCATTTGATGTATTATCGCTTCGGTAAACACCTTTGAATAGATAAGGCTTTTCAATTGTCTCGCTCAATAGAAAGGTACACAAAAGAATGACCGCGTTTTCTAAAGCATGTTTGAGATAAAATCTCGGTCAAACGACACGAAGTTTGCATTATAAGCATACAAGGTCTCGTACACGCCAGCAAGCATTGCGAGACTACAAAATGGCGGCGCCCTGTCGCCGAATGTAAACAAATCGCGCGATCGCATAAACGCTTATCTATGGCATGGAACACCAAAATCCAATAAATAATTTTAAAAAATGTGTTTCTCCGGAAGAAAACCGGAGGTTTTCAGGATTTTTTAGAAATATCCGGAAGACTTTCATCATTATTTTTATAAAGGAATATGTACCATTATATCAAGTATTCTCATAAAAGAGTATAGAAAGTGGTAACAAATGAAACAATAAGCATGAGCAGTACACGAGATATGATATATATACTAATGCTAAAAAAGTGGTACACAGTTCCAAGATAAACTGTGACCATTAATAGTATACACTGAGATTTACTAACACAAAATGTGGTTTATAGTTCCAAGATAAATTGTGACCATTAATAGTACACATTGAGATATAGTAATGCTAAAAAGCGGTGCATAGTTCCAAGATAAACTGTGATCATTAATAGCACACACTGAGATATAATAATGCTAAAAAGTGGTATATAGTTCCAAGATAAATTGTGACCATTAACAGTACACACTGAGATATACTAATGAATATACCAACACAAATCATATCTTTCAAAACTTGATGTGCTTCTCTAGCACTAATACAATCTAATACAGTGACTTGTCAGGAACATTAATCTCCCTTTCACATCTATATACTACTAAAACTCTGAGATTGTTTGTTTGCTTGTCTGTAATTAAATACAGCAAAAACAGCACACAATAGCATCATATTTGTAATGAAATGAGAATAAGAATAGAAACAGAATAAAACAAGTTTAATTGAAATTGGACCACAAGTTACCAAGTTAGCACCATTTTCAGGTCACTTTTTGTACATTCCATTATTATAAAACTTCGTTTTCCACCTGTTGAATCATATTAAAATATCTTCTATACAACAATATATGCACAACAGAAATTAAATGATGAGATGAAAATGTGTTATACTGCACGTAGAAAAAACAACAATAAAATGGACCTACAATATTATTGACTATTTGCAAATAGTAACTATGGAGACGAGGTAATAAAATAAAAATCAAGTCGAGAACAACAACAAAATTTTATAAACGAAAACTTACTTGCCAAGCATTGGCTATTATATTATTTATGTCAATGTTCCTATCTTCATTAAAAGGGTCACGGGTTGTCTAGTATCTTATCAAAGCCTATTCAACCTCCAATGATAATATTTTACACAAATTACAACACAATTTCATTTCCTTCACTGATAATAATAAACCTCCAACAAAATTAAATTACTTGGCTTGTTCCTTCCTCTAGTAATAACAGTGTCTTCAACAAAAGTACATTACTGCCTTTTCTCTTCCTCCAGTATTAATACTGTATTCCACAAAAGTACATTACCCAGCCTTATCTCTCCCTCCAAATAATAGTATCTAAAACAAAGACAAACTCAAACAATTCTATTATAATATTTTAAAAAAAGGATATTTCACTTCTCCTCCCCAGTTAGTTACTTGCTCACTGGTACTGTGCTCCTAAATAGATAAAAACAAAAAAAAAAACAAAGTATATTAGAAAAGACCTAAAGTGCAAAGTTATATATATAATTGTTTTAAACGAATCATTAGGTATCTATGACAGAATATTGTACATTATACACTTATTGATGTAACGTACCACCAATCTCCATATAGATACCAAACTTCTTACACTTCTGGACAAGGTGAAATATTAGTTTACCAGAAGAACTAAAGTTGAAGTTACAACAATTTTCATGTAATAGTTACAAGGTGAAAGATTAGTTTACCAGAAGAACTAAAGTTGAAGTCAAAACAAGCATCATTTAAAACCTACTCTCTTACACTTCTAAACAAGGTGAAATATTAGTTTACCAGAAGAACTAAAGTTGAAGTCAAAACAAGCAACATTTAAAACCTACTCTCTTACACTTCTAAACAAGGTGAAATATTAGTTTACCAGAAGAACTAAAGTTGAAGTCAAAACAAGCAATATTTAAAACCTACTCTCTTACACTTCTAAACAAGGTGAAATATTAGTTTACCAGAAGAACTAAAGTTGAAGTAACAACAAGTGTCATGTAAAACCTACTCTCTTACACTTCTAAACAAGGTGAAATATTAGTTTACCAGAAGAACTAAAGTTGAAGTAACAACAACATGTAAAACCTACTCTCTTACACTTCTGGACAAGGTGAAAGTTAACATTTTCGTACACTGAAAAGCGTATTTCCAATAGGTACCTACCTCCTCTCACACACAAGCTTTCTTGATCATTGTCTGCTCTCTAAGTATTGCTAAATTAATTTTTAGAAATGAGGCACAAGTCTTTATACCCCACCAGTTTCCCACCATTTTTGAACATGTACATATCATGTGACTACTCTCCACCAATAGTACTGCATCACCTATAACAGCACAGCTAGCATCCCATGCTATTCCCACTCAATCCTAACTTTCGATAATTGGCAGGTACCAGAATAAAAATGCCAGTTTTAGTGGGGAGGAAGAGTGGAAAGTGTGTGAGGAGGAGTACCTATCAGAAATATATTTTCAGTGTAAACAAATTTTAACTTCCAAAAAGGACTTACCTCCTCTCACACAAAAGCTAGAATCCCACATTACAAAAGTGAAGGGCTGGTGTAAGCACACAAAGAAGAAACCAAGCAGAAAGCAACCACCCAGAATGAAAAGGTATGATCGAGGATGAAAATGAAGTACACCTGTGGAGTACTGCACTACTTCTGATACGGGTATGCACATCACCCAGGAATGAGGAAAGGAAATTCAAATGGGCAGAAAAGGTAGTACTTGCACAATAGTACAAGTGTTAAGAAGATGCAAGCTGCAGCAACATATAACAAGAAAAAACAAAAATGTAATAACAATAAGTGGCTAGGGTATGTGGACCGTGTTATTGATACCAAAGAACTCCAACCGTAAGTAAACAGAGTGTCATACATCAAGCAACCAGAATTATGAAGAGGAAGTAGCAATGGCCATAACCTGACAAACTCTCAAAACCACCATGGGAGCAAGAAGTACGATAAACCAACCTGGTATTACAGGTTCTTGGTGTTGCCTTGACTCAACCATAAGAATGGGAAAATCTGTAACCAGTATTACAGGCAAAATTATAACTCACTCAACCATAAATGCAGGACAGAGACATTCTGTATCTGGAATTACAATGAAAACAAGCAGCATTTGCCCAACCATAGCAACAGAGCACAGACATCCAGTTTCCAGTATTAAGAGGCAAAGTCTCTCAAACCCAACTGTAGAAGCAGGAAAAGAACCTTCTGCAACTGGAATTAATGAGAAGAGAGATGTCTACTACACACAATCATAGGAACAGGGTGTTGTCATCCAGAACTTGGAATTATGAGGAGGCCCCAGGTATTATTTGAGCATTGTTTTATTGAGCACAGCCCGCCCAGGCAGAAAACATCTAGGGGAAGCACCAGTAGGGAACCAGCTTCACCCTCTTCTCACTGAGTGGATAAATGAGTGTAAGTATATTAACAGAGAAATACACTCAGGAGGAAGCCTCCATGGTCCACCACCCCAGCAATTGAGAACTGAGAGTGGTAAGAACTTCCATGCTCCACTAGAAGAAAAAAAAGGAGGGTGGTGAGGGTAAAAAGACAGTGGGAGTCTGCAAGAATGTTACACACGAGACAGTGCAATAAGTGACTGTGTTTCCCTGTTTTGAAAAGCAGACCAAACCCTATTAAGGAATCAAAGGATCCATAGGGATTGGCAGAAATCCCCTTCTACTCTATTCATGAAGTCTATGAGTGACAGTCCACTAAAGATATAATTATAATAAATAGATATACACATATACCACTGGGAAAGCACCCAGTGGTTTTACAGAAACACCCCATTTCAACTGAGCATTACTGCAATCAGTGCGGGTTTGAGACAAAGCATACCTGACCAGGCAGCCACAAGGTGGGATCCATAAAGACGATGCTAAGATTAAGAAAGCTGAAAAGAAAACAAAGATGAAAGAAAGCGAGATGACTTACCCCAAGCAAAGGTGAATAGATGTGTGTAAAATCACCATGGGAGGAAGATATGTAGGTTGGTGTCACTCCTACCGACATGTGGGAAAAACATCCAGGGACCCAGGTAGGAGAGCCCCCAACTTCACCCTCTTCCCCACAAATGGAGGAATTCACTCTAACACTCTGGAGAAAAAGCCTCTGTTCACCACCCCAGTGACAGGAAAACAGGTGTGGTAAGGACTTCCTAGCTTCACTATTAGAATCTGGGGGTAATGCACACTGGGGAGTATTGAGGATTAGAGCAATAGGTGAACCAAGTTCCCTGAATTGTTAAAAGTAAACCATCTCCGATTTATTCAATACAATGATCGGCAGAGAAAGGCAGTATCCCCTTATGCTTTACTCATGATAGGCCATGAGTGGCAGTCCAACATTGTATAGTAATACCACCTGGTCAGCTCCTTGGTGGTTTTATGGAACACTTCATTTCTACAGAGCCTGTTGCAACCTGCATAAAGTATATTGAATTAATGGTTGTAAGTGCAGAATTGGTACACCTGCCTGGGCAACATTCACCACAGAGAGGGATCCTGTGAAAACAAGTTAAAGAATCCTATCTGACAGTGTCTTGAGTAAAAAAAACTGGTTGCAGGATGTACAAAGAACGAGAAAGCAGTCTGTGGGCAAACAGCACAAACCACTCCAACTGGTGATGTCTGTAGGTCAGCAGCCACGAAAAATAAACCTTCAGGTAAAGAGGATACATGGCATAAAAGAGTCAGGACACAAATAGGTATTGAGAAAGAGCATGTACTGTAGGTACTGTAGGTAACTGGAATGGTCATTTGGCACCAAGGACCCAAAGCGACTTGAGGAATCCGGATGGTACTAGGAACTCAAAAATAATATAGTCGCAATAATCGAATGGCAGTCGATAAGGCTGCTTTAAACAGTGCAACTGAGGAAGATGCAAAAAACTCTGTCAAAGAGTCGGGTCCAAAAACGAGTTATGGTTAGCACTTCTGATCAAAGTGGGTTCAACCTCCTCTCAATACACTGTTGCTGAGATTGTGTGTCATTTCTACTGATAAATGTTCATCTTGGACTAAGCTAAAACTGAGACAAATACATGGCAACTTTAAAAATTAAACCCCGATGCCATGCGAATGACTGAATAATCTCCATGCCTGAAGCTTGAGCTCCTGGATAGCCAGGTGTACCAAGGCAGATCATGGTTATCTCCACAGAGATAGCCTAAGAAGAGGTGGATATTCCAGAAGGTACTGCTGAAGCAAAAACCAAGATGTAGCAACCAATTTGGTGCTATCAACAGGACCCGATAATAAGTTGGAACAATTCATATTTGGTATCCTGCATAACATATGAAGTGGAGAGAAGGCCTAGAGTTGTAATCCTGTCTTGTCCTGAGAGAATGCAACCATTGCCAAAGCCCAAAGATGAGGTAATGGAGGCAAAATTACTAGTAGTTTGGTGATCCAATGAGAGGCCAACCCACCAATCAAAAAACTGAGTTGCAAAATTAGAGCCAATCCAACAAAACCTTGCAATGTAGCATCTATTCAAGAGTATCAGTTAGGATTGAGAGAATTGACCTGCTACCACAGGTATCACCCATGGAACATACCAAGCTAGTGGGGTGATAAGATAGAAATGGTCCGGAGAAAGGAGGACAAAAAATTTGAAAACAAAAAGCCCTGTACCAAGTGCCTTCTTGACGAGAAACACAAGACACTACCCCAGAATTATCTGAGAATTATCAGAAGAACTAAAGCTGAAGTATAGGAAGTTTCACTTGAAACCTACTTGCTTACACTTCTGGACAATGCTAACAGCTGAACAAGTTAAAATTAATACCATACTTAGTATGCTTAATTTTTTTACTTGAAGAACACTAAAAGAATTATTAAAATCTGTTATATGTTACATTTCTGATTCAGAAAATCTAGAGGCAAAAATTTTAAAACTTACTCTCTTGTTTTCACGGTCTTTCTCACGATCATCCTGGAAAATAAATTTTGAAGCATACTTAAATCCTTATATTCTACAATAGAAATAAAAATACACATTTCATAATTGGAATGGTTTTTCCATCAATGCTAACACCATGTAAAGTAGAGAGAACAAAGAAATACCATAACTATTGAAGTATGAATAATAATTTGTCAGGTTCACTATTGTATTAGGAAGAAAGATAAACTTTATTACGTAAATCATATCATCATTTTAAGGCTGGCACAATGTCTTGTGAGTTTAGAATGTTTTCTAAAATAAAAGCTAGGACTAAAAAGGATTCAAACTGTAATTCTGCTTGCCATGCAGAGGCTTCAACAAATAAAGTTGCATGTATGAATTTATTAGTACTGGCTAAAGTAAAATCTGATTATTAAGGATTGAATTTAGCAAGACTGGTTACTACGGTTAGAATTTAACAGGACTGGTTACTAAGGTAGGAATTTAACGTTATTGGTTATTAAGAATGGAATTCAATGGGACTGGTTATGAAGGATGGAATTTAGAAGGAATAGTTAAGTTTGAAATTTAGCAGAACTGGTTACTAAGGTGGAATTTAGAAGGAATAGTTAAGTTTGAAATTTAGCAGAACTGGTTACTAAGGTAGGAATTTAGCAATATTGGTTATTAAGGATGGAATTTGGCAATATTGGTTATTAAGGATGGAATTTGGCAATATTGGTTATTAAGGATGGAATTTGGCAATATTGGTTATTAAGGATGGAATTTAGCAATATTGGTTATTAAGGATGGAATTTTGCAACACTGATTATTAATGTTGGAATTTAGCAATATTGGTTATTAAGGATGGAATTTAGCAATACTGGTTATTAAGGATGGAATTTGGCAATATTGGTTATTAAGGATGGAATTTGGCAATATTGGTTATTAAGGATGGAATTTAGCAATATTGGTTATTAAGGATGGAATTCAGCAATATTGGTTATTAAGGATAGAATGTAATAGGACTCAGTTAATAGAAATACTATTATGTTGTGCACACAGATGTATAAGAACTTGAGCATGATGCTTATACAAAGTGTTCAACAATAATATAAAACTTGTTAAGATTACTAAGTCTAATAACTTTGGCATGATATTTTATATTAAGTATTCAATAATACTTGATCTATCAACAATAACATAAAACTTGTTATGTATATGAACCTGAGCATGATGCTTATAGTCAATTATAATACAAAAAATCTAACTGAAAAGTTTAGTTACAGATAAAATGTACTGTTTTATTTTTTTAAGTGATTATTTTGATTAATAAAAGTGAAAACAGGTTTCATAAAGACACATTCAGGAGTTTATATTTTTTTTGGAATTCTTTACTTGTACATAAATGAATATAGAGTTCCAGAAGACTTTTTCATACAGTTAAAAATATTTGTTTCTCTGAACAGATTTTTAACCAGAGATGTGTTAAAATCACAGCTTAATTTGAAAAATAATATTATCTCAGTTATAAATAAAACTTCATTCCTAGAAAATATATTATAGCATGAAAATATACTCAAAGACCTCTTTTTTATTGTGTTATAATACATATCTCTAGGTTTTCACCTGCAATGTAAAAAACATGGTTAAAAATCAAATAAAGAATACAATATGGATTTAGATGTGAAATTTTCCTCCTTATCAGCAAAAAAACTAGATCAAATTGTTTATTCTTAATTTGTTGACATGACCATTTCAAGATCTTTGTATCAAATAACATGTAAAGAAATTTACAACTGATAAAGCTGTTGACAAGATCAAAAGAACATCTAAAAGCCCCTTCATTTCAGTTTGAACACATGGATCCAAAATTATCATTATTTTGTTTCTTCACATGTTAAAAATATCACATTTTATTTTCTCCAATTTAACCAGTCTTTGACTTGATGTTATTTTCTTGATACAGTATTGCTGTTGACACTGCAATAATTCATAGTTTTGTTTTGTTATTCAAATTCTACCACCTGACAATGCTAGTAAACCTAGTGACTTTTAAAAAATAAAATAAATTCAAGTTTTCATATTACAAGTTCTACATATTAAAATGTTAAAATTCAAGGTAATTGAGTAATTATAAAAAATTAAAACATTCAATGTTCATTAAGTACACACTTGCAGCAACATTCATTAAGTACACACTTACAGCAACGTTTCTTAAGTACACACTTACAGCAACATTTCTTAAGTACACACTTACAGCAACATTTCTTAAGTACACACTTACAGCAACATTTCTTAAGTACACACTTACAGCAACATTTCTTAAGTACACAGTTACAGCAACATTTCTTAAGTACACAGTTACAGCAATGATTCTTAAGCACACACTTACAGCAATGTTTCTTAAGT